AGTATCACTTACTACCATCATCAATTACTGTAGTCATTATTAGTCTGCCACGTCACACTGGTTCACTTGTGCTCTAAAACGAGTTCAGGTAAATATATATTTTATTATTTATTTGATAAGGAATTTTAGGTTTTCTTGGTTGTTCAGCAGTTTCTAGTCTTTTGAAACGGAATTTCAAGAGAACTATAGGGATTGCTTTGTGTGGTAAGGTGGTGGTAGTAGTAATGGCAAAGACCTGTATTTCAAAAGTTTGCGCATCAACATTTCAGAATCTTTTAAGGATGAAGGTCGTTGGTGTCTGAAGTGTGTTTCTGAAGGAGTTAATGGCTTGAAGTATTTTGAGAATTCTGTCAATAAAATAGCATTAGTAAGACATAGGTCTCAATGGAGTACAGAACTAATGGCTATATTTTTGTATTGTATTTTAGCTACCTGTCCTATATGGCGCACTGTACTTGTCAAAAAAATGTGAAATGATGTGACAGCAGCTATACAGATAATTGAGCAGCTCACCGGCCACTCATAGTTAGATGGAGAGTAGAGGTTCCAAAAGATTTATAATGGCAGGACCTAACGCCAAGCAAATTCATAAAATCAGTAAGAAGAGGCAAGCGAAGTAGTTCTCAGCTGTACACAGAGCCATACAGTTATGGTCAGCTGTACACAGCGCCATACAGTTATGGTCAGCTGTACACAGCGCCATGCAACTATGGTCAGCTGTACACAGCACCATGCAGTTATGGTCAGCTGTACACAGCGCCATACAGTTATGGTCAGCTGTACACAGCGCCATGCAGCTATGGTCAGCTGTACACAGCGCCATGCAGCTATGGTCAGCTGTACACAGCGCCATTCAGATAGGGTCAGCTGTACACAGCGCCATGCTGTTATAGTAAGCTGTACACAGCGCCATGCTGTTATAGTAAGCTGTACACAGTGCCATGCTGTTATAGTAAGCTGTACATAGCGCCATGCTGTTATAGTAAGCTGTACACAGCGCCATGCTGTTATAGTAAGCTGTACACAGCGCCATGCAGCTATGATCAGCTTTACACAGCACCATGCTGTTATAGTCAGCTATACATAGTGTCATGCAAGTTACTGTCAGCTATTCACAGCACAAAGCAGTTATGTATATCAATTAGCAATACCGGATAGTACATAGCAACTGGCAAAACTGAACAATCATACATCGCGCCAAGTACATTAAGTTTGACACTGTAGAGCCTCAAGCATTTTTGTGATCGGATACATAAAAGAGTCAAGCAAGCAAAATTCGACAACACCTAACACCTCATAGAAAATCACGGGCAAGCACAACGTAAGGCAAATTATCTTGGCGGTACACAACACCTAGCAAGACATTTAACGATATGTACCGCCAAGTACACTAGGTATGACAAAGAGCTAAGCTGAGTTTTATTTGTAATTAATGACCGCCATGCAGAGAATATTTGGCAGTATTTAGCGCCAAAAGAAAAATCTCTGCGTGTCGGCGTACCTGGCCTGGCGGGCACACGTCAGCATCAGGAGTACCAACACCGCCGCAGCGCTCCTCAGTCACACATGACTTTGTGTCAGTACAGAACACCTGCCGGTATATCTGTACAATTTAATTATGAGTTGATTTGTTTTCATGCTAAACATCCTTAACCGTTTGTCAAGAAATATTTTGTTAGAATGTAATACACTTAATTCAGAAAATTTAAAATCTCTCATGAGCTCAAAAATTTCTTGCTTTTGCAAAGTTTGAAGTTTATCGATATATATATATATATATATATATATATATATATATATATATATATATATATATATATATATATATATATATATATATATATATATATATAAAATGAAAAAGTCATAATATAGTAAGTTACGATTCATCTTATTAACCAATTTTCTCTGGAAAATATTAGCATGTACTGTATATACCAGAATACGCATCTTTTGTTAGTGCCGAAAGATATACGATACGGAAAACAAACATTGTACTGTATTGTAAATAATTCTTACTACGTACCTGTGACATCGCTTTGACAATATTCCATAATTCATCATAAAAATATTAGGATTACGACGTTCCTTGTATAAGAAGCTTTCAGCTAGCGACAGAGCAGCAAGTAGCCTCACAATGCCTTGCTTCGAGAAATGTAGCCTACGGTGTTTTCTTCCCAGATTTCACTACAACAGCTGGGTGAACGACAGCGTGGAATGGAGGTTGTGGTATAGAGGGTGTAGCCAAGGACTTTTATAGGTGTAATGTATAATTATGTGTGTCTACGTTATCTGTTAAAGTGTGTGTGTGTGTGTGTGTGTGTGTGTGTGTGTGTGTTATGTAGGCAGGGTGAAACAATGGGCAAGTTTCTTTACGCCATTTGCCTGTCTACCCAGCAGTAATTGGGGACCTGGATGTCAATTGATTTGCGGATCGTATTCCGGGGTAATGGTTAGCCAATGCAGTTGGCGAGTTGTCCGGTCTTCTCGGACTATTCCTTGACACAGGGTCATGCAACTCGTTAACTCAGAGTGTGGTTGTTGTGTTGGCGACAACTTCTATACCTTGAACAAATTCACGCCTAGGTGACCCTTTGGCCGGCCATCCTCGTTTCACGAATGGGCAACCAGTATAGTGATCACGTACGTATACACGTGGGTGTGGCGGGCCAGCAGTGTTGTAGCAACCCTCAGGTGTTTGGCCAGCAACAGGATCGATGATGTTCACCTCCTCAATTCTGCACCACTAGCACCAGTACCGATGCCATCTTGTCTTATATAAACTTAATCTATATCGTCACATAACCATTAAATCCATATTTTGTTTAATTAACAAAACTCCTGTCCATTATTTAATTCACAGTTTATATAATTGATAAGTTTGTATATAGTCCATAAAGGTTGACTGAGGTAGTGAAGTTACGTAAATATAATTATGATTTTACGTCAGGTGTTGATGTAATAATTTCATGTAGGTAGAAGCGGTGCTATTATTATCAGCGAGAGGCGGACGAATTTTGAAAAGTTCTCTGAAATGGTGAAATAAATGTGTCGGATAGATACAGGGACTGGTGTTTTGAGTAGTTAATAATTAGCAACTGTTTCTTGTGTACGGGATTATTTTTGTCATATTTGGATAAAAGATGGAATTAAATATAAAGTACGAATCCAATTCCATGTAACAGTTTCTTGAAATATTTGGGGTTTGTCCTATGAAGCACAAGGGGCTAAGACTGCTTCTGATAGGTTTAACTAGGTTTACGATATTTTATTTTTAGTCTGCCCAGTGCTGGTCCAGTATCGCCTCATTATTGTCCCAAACTGAACACTATGGTCTGTTTTTGTTGTATATAATACGTCACCGGCCTAGTATAGACGTACTTAGGCGAGCACCAAGTGGTTTCTCTCGTTCCCCTGGACAATTTGTGATTTTTTTTCGTTTGAACGATAATATACCGAAGTGAAAAAAAAAATTATCGCTCATTAAAATTTGAAAACTAGACGTTTAAAATATATTTTTTAGAAGGAGAAACTGAAAATTATTATTTATTTTTTCAGATTAATTTTATTTTTTATACGAACTGCTGCTGTGACTACGACACTAATAACGGTTCTTTTAGTCTTCACCTAATAATCGATACACTAAAACTGACATTACGCTTCATTAAACTACAGAAAAGTATATATTATCTGGCATTAATATTGTTATTATTTTTTTTATTTCAAAGTCTCAGTACCCATCATGAGACTCCGGTGTTTTTCATTTATGCATAATTTTAATTTATTATTTTTTATTAACGTCATTATATTTGTTTATACTATATTTCGAGTCACACCACCACGACCCTCACAGTAGAGGTTTAAGTTGCCAGTAAGATATAATAACATTCTCCTTAATCATATTGTGATATAAAGCTGACATGTCCAGGTATTGTTCACGTGTGTGTGTGTGTGTGTGTGTGTGTGTGTGTGCATTAAATTTTAGCGCCATGAAAGTTGTACGGTGAAAAACTTCGCTGGGCATAATTAAAATTAGCTGGCATGTTTACAGCAAGATTAACGCTTCTAGTTAGCGAGTTGGACCTTGAGCTGTAAACGATGTAATTAACATAACTGAAGGCTTCATTATCACATGGCGTTTATGAAGATGTTTAATACTTTGAAGATCTTTTCTGGGAATTAGGTATTATTATTTACTACGCAATTGCACGTCACGAGGTCCCACATCCCTCACCTCCAGCTGCCAGTGCCCGGGTATCTAGCTCAACTGGGCACCTTGTTCACGGCTCCCTAACCCAGACGTGACTCACCAATAAAGGCATTATTACACTTAAACCCCAGACGTGGCCACAAGGTCGTCCCTAGCGAGAAGTAAAGGTGTAAACAGAGTGGATGTAAACAAGGAACCCCGGAGCTGGCTGGTGTAACCTTGACCGGCCCTGAGGATCATCACGCTCCTCCAACATGCGAACCTTTCCTCCCTCCCCTCACGGACACAGCCTTGTTTCTCTGTGAGGGTACACAACCAGGCATTACCCTCCACACACAGTGCAGTTATGGTAATGTGGAGGTGTGTGTATGCGTGCGTGCTCGCTCGTTGCTTTAATGTTTCACAAACGATGCACAAATCTAACAAACTTTCTTGCAACTGCAGAAGGTTCACAAACTTTTAAAAACAAAAACAGTGTCACCACGATAACGTTGTTAAGGCCGCAGCCAATCATGACTCGTCAACCTAACCTCACCTCCGTCTATTTGACATTTATGTGGCAGTAAATTTGCGTTCCGACCTAACTTCCCTTGCTTGTTCTAACTCTTTGGTAATGTCCGCAATGTTATGTGAGTGGGCGAGTCTTTGGTGGTTTCCTGAGCATTGTGAGCGATAATTAACCAAACTGGACCCGAGTGTAATAAATGTAAGAATCATTAGTGTTTGTATGGAAGGAAGAAGATGCAACAGTCACAGGTATGGGTGGCAGTGGATGGGTTACTGTAGTTACCTGGGAGGGTGGACAGGTGGTTGATGACTGAGTCTGCCGCTGACCGTCACCACCATCCTCACCACACACACCAGACACCACACACCGGTGGGCGGCGGCGCACCACACCTCCCACGGGTAGCACCTCCTACCCTCTCCTGGCCCCTCACTGAACTCCTGCTCAGTGAACAGCCCACACGACGCCTGGCAATACCCACTCGACGCACACAGGACCTTGTGGGCAAGCAGACGGTGTTATGGTGTAGGACACTGGTGGTTGTGGTGTAGGACACTGGTGTTGTGGTGTAGGACACTGGTGGTTGTGGTGTAGGACTGTGGTGTAGGACACTGGTGTTGTGGTGTAGGACACTGGTGTTGTGGTGTAGGACTGTGGTGTAGGACACTAGTGGTTGTGGTGTAGGACTGTGGTGTAGGACTGTGGTGTAGGACACAGGTGTTGTGGTAAGGAATCAAAGACCAATACTGGTAAGATCTTTCTACCATGCTTGCTGGAAACAATACTTATATTTCACACGGTTAAAACATGCTTTATACAGTACTGATGTAATGAAAACCTTTTTATACAAACACACACAAACATTATATATATATATATATATATATATATATATATATATATATATATATATATATATATATATATATATATATATATATAGATATATATATATAGCAAAAGCATTATTCACATGGTTATATCGAGCGTCCCAGGAATATACAGTACGAGGCTCCAGGCTGTAATCCTATTTATTCCAGCTGAATATAATAGGTACAGATATTTTCCAAGTATTCACTGTCAATAAACTCAAGATCAGACATTGATAATATTATACAGGAAAGATGTCAGTGTGTCAAGGCCAAAACGTGACGGTGTGTGGCCCTCACTGACAGACACGTGACGCTCTTATAATTATTGTTAGTCTTAGACTGACCCAGGACATGCAAAAAAAAAATAAAATAAAGACAGTCATATTAGAACACCATTGACAAGAGGCAGTAAATATTTTGTGACTGTTAAGAGAATATCTCTGGAATACTGATATTTGGTTAAAGGATTATTATTGTTTCGAAAAATAGTTGTGGTACATTAGAAGGACGCCCGACATAGTGGTGATGCGTGCAGCTCTGTTTTTATACATCAGATGTGATATTTACATAAGCTACCTCTTGACCGTCCTCAGTGGTCCTCGAGTAATGGCGAGGCCGCTAAAGGTACTGTTCTCCCAGCACAAGGGGTCAAACTTATTGCCTGTACTAAAGGAACAATTAAAACACTGCACGAGTAGCTTTTTTACATAAGCCAATGAAATTATGCACCGAGTAAGTTAAATACAACTAACGACTGTGGTAACACTCACGGTGCCGGAGCGACATTTCTTGACGGAAGAGGTACCGCCCTGCTCCGGACAGCTACCCAGGATACAGCCGCCCCACTTGGCGCAGAAGGTGAAGCCCTGGCTACAGGACATCTCTGAACTCATGGCTGCTTCCCCGCAGTCGGCTTTACTCTCGCATGAACGAGTCCTAACATACACATAACATGGTTAGCTACTTGTAAATAAACCATAAACCTAAAACATTATATTGTACAGTATTCAGTTTATCCTTACACTATATTTTCATTATAAGAGTTACCTTCCCTGGAAGAACATTTGTCCTCAGTTCCCCTTTCTTTCTTAACCACATCCTCACCCTGTTTCCTGTACACAACTCTCCTATACTCTTGATATTACGATTTGCTTTCTATAATGACTCCAGCTTGTTTAATCAATGTTCTGACTTTTGAAGAAACTATGGTTTTCATTGGTGAAAAAATATTGTGTTACATAAACCAGTTAAGAGCAGCGTATTATACTGAATATAAAGGCTTGACTTTCCCAGCTGTAAAGTTAGGCAGCCATTAATAGCGGGATGAGCTGGGTGTGACCCTGAGGACAGAAGGCGAGTGCCACACCTTTTTCTGTAGTGATTCATACAAAACCTCAAGTGAAATAAGCGATTAATATCTTCACCGAAATGCTTTTATCTTGTTCTACATGGTAAACAAACACACTCATTTATTGTATCATTTTCATATTTCACTTCATTTGTCATCAGCAGACATTTTATGACCGAACTGTACAGTTGACTTCCTGTGGCAGAGAACAAACTGTCCTTAATACATATCCTAACCTCTTGGTTCACCTCACTAAGTTATGCTGTAGTGTGTGTGTGTGTGTGTGTGTGTGTGTTTATCATCCTTAACAAACAATGACCCAAACATTCATATTTACATACAGCTTTCCACACAAACTAAAAACACACAACATCCTCCCACATACACATACAGAGCTCCACCCCCTCACCTGCTGCAGAAGAACAGGCCGGGTCCGCAGGGTTGAGGCTGTTGGGGCACCGAAGGGTTATCGAGTCTACTGACAGGAGGACAGGGCGTGATGCAGGCGGCGTTGGTGTGTGTTTCGCAGTACACTTGACCCACAGGACATCGCTGGTTCCTCACGTTCTTGCTGTTGACATTACGACACATCTTGGGGACACAGTGGTTCTTGGTCGTCGGGCAAAGCTCCTGCGTGGGGTGAAAGGATGTTATTTTGCCGCATTACTCACACCTGGATGACGTTCATTATTATTATTAGAAGTAGTATTGTTGTTATTATTATTATTATTTATTATTATTATTACTATTATAGATTTTTTTATAATCCTCGTTATTATAGGGTAATCGAAAAGTCCCCCTATGCAACTGTAATAATTAGCAATATAGTTTTTCCTTGTTATACCTGCTTTATTTTATACAATGTTCTAATTACAGTAGATACTAGTTTATGGTATACACAGGGACTTTTCGATCACCCTATGCTAACTATCATGAATAATTTATACATTTAAAGGTGTTTTTCTGTGTTTAATTTGCCATGTGACAGATTACTTCCCTTTAAAACATTCCTGTTATGTGAGCTTCGTCTGTCTTTCTCCCTGTCAAAGGTAGTGGCCATACTTCTACCCTCCTTATCCTCTGTCACATTAATCAATCGCCAGGGATGGAATTACCACAATCAATCAATCAACGTCATTAAGAAATTGTAATTAATAGTTCAGATGTTTCTCAGAATTAATAATCTGGCGTTCAGTTTCCTTCGTGAATTATCTCCATCATTTACAGATTATTATCACAAATAAACTTCACATAAACTGAGAATATATTATGGAACAAATAACTTACTCATTTTCTGGTGAATTAATTGGAATATAAATAGGTTTTGAGGTGGTGTACCATTAACTACCGGTAATACTATAGTTTAGCTTTTCCATATACAGTACAGTAGTCGTACAATATAGTATAAACAAGGTGGGTGTCATAAAACGAATGTAAAAAAGTCACTAGAACAATTTACAAACCTAACCTAATGTAACCATAACCTAACTTAACTTTAACCTAACCTAATCTTAACCCAACTTGCCTTAACCTAACCTAACCCAACTTGCCTTAACCTAACCAAACTTAATTCTGTTTTAGGCTATTTAAAAGCTGTCTATATCCCATAACATGATTTATCACCAAAAATATACCTGTTTTTTCCAGTGATTTTTTTATTTTTTGTTTTTGTTTCTGGGAGCCGATAAAATTGTTTGTAACTCTGCCTTACTGAACTTATATACGGGTTCATGCGTCTATATAAACACTGGGTTGGGGTAGATGGATGGTGGCTGTTTTTCTTGTGATGCACAGAGGTGTTGAGGGAGGTACAGTCCCCTTCACTAGTGCGTTTACAGGGGCTCATCAGCACTGTGTTTGTTTACATTCGATAGAAGGAAACTCGCAATAATAAACATGGAATCACAGTAAAGCAATATTAAAATGAAAAATCTCAATGTAATGATTTGTGAACTGTTTATATGACGAGCCCCTGTAAACGCACTAGTGAAGGGGACTGTACCAAACGACACAAGCTGTTAAAATTTAGATCATCCCTTACTGTTTTAACCACCCTAGAAAGTTTTAACTCCAATATTTTTTATTGTTGGTGAACTGGTGTAATCACTAACATTATTACGCGCCCAAAAGACCATTATAACAACAACCATCCTGTATTATTAATGTTATTCTCTGGTTTCTAGCTTAACAGGCACAGCTTTTATTATTTCTTACATAAATCACATCGTGGCTGAGAGGTCATACCAGTAGGTGCCCGACTCATGGACGCGTTACCCAGACTCCCACGTCAACAGTAGCTTAGAAATGACATCTATTCTTATCCGGACAGTGTGGACGGTGGTATTGATTTTTATTTATTTATCCCAGTATCCATGGGTCTGGCACAAGGTTACTTACGACACATGATATAAGACTTAACCTCAATATTGGTTTACACATTGATATTATAACAAGTACTGAAGTGAAGATTACGAAGCCCATCTTACTTCACCTGTTGATTAATCCCCTTAATGCTAACCTAACCTAACCTAAATCTAACCTAACCTAACCTAACCTAACCTAACCTAACCTAACCTAACCTAACTTCGTAAGATTCCCTGGATGACAGAAACTAGAATAATACCCGTTTTTATAGCTTACGATGGCGAAAAAAATAAATCACACAATACCAGTAATTACACTTATTATTTCACCCTTTTCTTCTTTAATTAGTGTAATAATAGTAACCAAATATTACTTTAATCCCGCATACTCAACACAACCAGTGGCCCCATTCTTTCATTCCATTCCGGGTGTAGTAACGTCAGCCGTGGGCGCACTTGGCCTCGATATTGAATAGTGACCATAGGCAACTGTCGCTACATACACCAACACCACTACTACTACACCCAGGGAGGTATACAACACACCACTCCTCTGTATACAAGTGATCAAGTCGTAACGCAAACCACCCAATCACACCTTTTCTATGTTATTTGCACATGATTACATATTTTCAGCGGATCGTAAAAGGTAAACCTACTAACTGTATTAAACTGAGTAATACAGTAGATGGTTCTCTTTGGATACGGTTGAGAATACAGTAATACACCTTTACTAACTTTCAGGACCAATGTGAAACGCTGTTGTTGTTTTTAACGATATATGTAAAGTATTAGAATTTTTAATTGTTTTTGTTGGGTATATAAACTTTATCAAGAACTATATACATTAACCTTACTGATATATATACGGTGTTTATATACTAGAAGAGGTTCAAGGTGTTGGGTTATATGAAAGATGAAGCATAATTTAAGATCTTTTTGGAGTGACAGTACAAAAAATAAGCTAAGTTAGGTAATGAAGCCGTGATAATGAAGGTGGTGGCGTTACTGAGCTGGAACTAGAGTAAGGTGGGATGGAGCAGTGAGGTGAGGGAAGTGAGGAAGTTGGATATAGTGAGGTTGTGAGGCAGTGGGGAGAGCTCATGAGAAGGACAGTGAGAAGAGGAAAATATATACCCTAGGGTAGATACAGTAGGGGTGAAGGGAAGGTGGAAGAGGAAGAAGAGGAGTTAAGTACAAGATGTGAGGGAGGGAGGGGTGGGAGAGAGGGGGGGGACAGTAGAGGAGGAAGAGGAGTACAGCAAGATGTGAGGGAGGGAGGGGTGGAGAGGGGGGACAGGGAGGAAGAGGAGTACAGTACAGATGTGAGGAGGGAGGGGTGGGAGGGGGTGACAGTAGTAGGAGGAAGAGGGAGTACAAGATGTGAGGGAGGAGGGGTGAGAGAGGGGGGACAGTAGGAGGAAGAGGAGGCAGATGGAGGGAGGGAGGGGTGGAGAGAGGGGGGACAGTAGGGAGGAAGAGGAGACAGTACAAGATGTGAGGGAGGGGGGTGGAGAGGGGGGGGAGGGGAGCAGGAGGGGGGAGAGGGGGGGACAGTAGTAGGAGGAAGAGGAGCAGTACAAGATGTGGAGGGAGGGAGGGGAGGAGAGAGGGGGACAATAGTAGGAGGAAGAGGAGACAGTACAAGATGTGGGAGGGAGGGAGGGAGGAGAGAGGGGAGGGACAGTAGTAGGAGGAAGAGGAGTACAGCACAAGATGTGAGGGAGGGAGGGGTGGGAGAGAGGGGGGGACAGTAGTAGGAGGAAGAGGAGTACAGTACAAGATGTGGGAGGGAGGGAGGGGAGAGAGAGGGGGGGGACAGTGGAGTGGGGAAGAGGAGTACAGTACAAGGAGGGGAGGGAGGGAGGGGAGAGAGGGGGGGACAGTAGTAGAGGAAGAGGAGTACAGTACAAGATGTGAGGGAGGGAGGAGGAGAGAGGGGGGGGACAGTAGGGAAGAGGAGTACAGTACAAGATGTGAGGGAGGGAGGGGAGGAGAGAGGGGGGACAGTAGGAGGAAGAGGAGGCAAGATGTGAGGGGAGGGAGGAGGAGAGAGGGGGGGGACAGAGAGGAAGAGGAGGCAAGACAAGGGAGGGGAGGGGAGGGGAGGAGAGAGAGGGGGGACAATAGTAGGAGGAAGAGAGTAAGTCAAGATGTGAGGGAGAGGGAGAGAGAGGGGGGAAGGTAGGAGGAAGAGGAGTACAGTACAAGATGAGGGAGGGAGGAGGAGAGAGGGGGGACAGTAGTAGGAGGAAGAGGAGTACAGTACAAGATGTGAGGAGGAGAGGGGGGGGACAGAGGAGGAAGAGGAGCAAGTACAAGATGTGAGGGGGGGAGGAGAGAGGGGGACAGTAGGGAGAAGAGGAGCAGCACAAGATGTGAGGGAGGGAGGGGAGGGAGAGAGGGGGGGGACAAGTAGGGAGGGAAGAGGAGTACAAGATGTGAGGGAGGGGAGGGAGGGAGAGGGGGGGGGAGTAGTAGGAGGAAGAGGAGGCAGCAAGGTGAGGGGAGGGAGGGAGGGAGAGAGGGGGGAGGACAGTAGGAGGAAGAGGAGTACAGTACAAGATGTGAGGGAGGGAGGGGAGGAGAGAGGGGAGGGACGTAGTAGGGAGTAAGAGGAGTACAGCAAGGTGAGAGGGAGGGAGGGGAGGAGAGAGGGGGGGACAGTAGTAGGAGGAAGAGGAGTACAGTACAAGATGGAGGGGAGGGAGGGGAGGAGAGGGGGGGGACAGTGTAGGAGGAAGAGGAGAGTACAAGATGTGAGGGAGGAGGAGGAGAGAGGGGGGGGACAGTAGTAGGAGGAAGAGGAGCACAGTACAAGATGAGGGAGGAGGGGAGGAGAGAGAGGGGAAGGGAGTAAGAGGAGTACAGTACAAGATGGGAGGGAGGGAGGGGAGGAGAGGGGGGGAGCAGTGGGGGGAGGAAGAGGAGACAGTACAAGATGTGAGGGGAGGGAGGGGTGGGAGAGGGGGGGGGACAGTAGAGGGAAGAGGAGGCACAAGATGTGAGGGAGGGAGGGGAGGGAGGGAGAGGGGGACAGTAGTAGGAGTAAGAGGGAGCAAGACAAGGAGGGGGAGGGGAGGGAGAGAGGGGGGACAGTAGTAGGAGGAAGAGAGTCAGTACAAGATGTGAGGGAGGGAGGGAGGAGAGAGGGGGACAGTAGTAGGAGGAAGAGGAGAGACAGTCAAGATGTGAGGGGAGGGGAGGAGAGAGGGGGGGGACAGTAGGGAGGAAGAGGAGTACAGTACAAGATGTGAGGGAGGGAGG